GTCTCTCACCTGTATGTCCCTCACCTGTCTATCTCTCACATGTCTGTCCCTCACCTGTATGTCCCTCACCTGTCTGTCTCTCACAGTTCGACCATCTGTCCCTATGTGTCCTTTTAACGAGCGTCTTCCTGAAGATCCTTCATCGCCATCACACTCTCCACCTCGATGCCCCTCCCCTCCTCTGCCTGTCACTCAGACAAGACGACCTGATTGGATGCTGCGGGATTCTCCGTACTCAGAAGGTGTGGCTGAGCACAAACAGGGTGGGGCTTGTTTGGACTGTCTACGTTTCCATGGAAATGACAACTGTGATGTGCCGGTAGGTTCTGACTTCCTGTTACTTGTTATGGAATGTAGACAGGAAGTAGGTTTTTCTATCCTTTATCTGTTCCCATTGAGGCAGACTTTCAAAACAAAAGCAGCGAATCGACTGTGATCACTTCCTGTTTGCAGGGGACTCAGTGATAACAGATAAATGTCACTGAATCACTGTGACACTGAAGGAAACTGAAAATCATCAGGACTCTACATGAAGTTCTGCAGAATCTGGTTCTTCTGCTTTATTGTTGACGATGATGATCGTCAGGATGTGATGTCATACTCAGTACACATGTCTCACTGAAATATAATTCTGTGTGTGTGTGTGTAGTTCGTACCTGTCTCACCCTCTCAGGGTCTCACCTGTGCGGATGACCTGTCGTCATGTGACCTCACTCAGCTTGGTTTCATCTCTCACATTGAGCTCTCCACCTTCCTGCTCGCTCTGGGTGTCCAAACCAAACACACCCGCCCTCCACGCCACCGGAACCGGGGTGCGTTTCATTTGTACCTTCCAGTGTGAACTGTTGAGACCAGAGACTGTTGAGGGGCTCATTGGTTTAACGGAGGTTAGGGGTCAGAGGTCAGAGGTCAAGTTCTCAGACCTGAAGTTCACTGTGAATAGTTAATGACAAGTTATTTACATTGAACAATTAATAAACAATAATGAATCATTTTAAAACACCAACAGCAAAACTCTGTCTGTCCACCTGTCTGTCCACTTGTCTGTCCACCTGTCTGTCCACCAGACAGCGGTGTGTTTGGCGTTTCTCTGAACTTCCTGTTGGAGAGCGACAGGAAGAAGTTTCCCGGGGTTAAAGTTCCCGTTGTCTTCCAAAAGGTGAAGAACCTGTCTGTCTGTCTGTCTGTCTGTCTGTGTTGTATCAGATGACATTTGACATTAGCTTTGTGCTAAGCTAACAGTTGAACTGAGGTTCTGACAGAGGAACTAGAACCTGACATCAGCTGATTACTGGTCTTCCTGTCTTTGTTTTGGTTAAACAGTTTGAGTCTGCACAGCTTCAACTGTTAGAGCTCGAATATGAACTGAGGGATCTAACCACGTACGTGTGTGTGCGTGTGTAGTTGTTGTGTATTTTAGAGCAGAACGTGGAGACTGAGGGGATCCTCAGAGTTCCTGGATCAGTCGCTCGACTCAAGGTAACACTCATCAAACATCTGTACACTTCAGTGCTTTTATTCTGAAGGTCATCTTCCTGTCTGTCTGTCTGTCTGCAGTACCTGCGTAGAGAGTTAGACAGGTGCGGCGGAGACATCGACTGGTCGTCAGTGAGACAGGTGGAAGCTGCAGGTTTATTGAAGCTTTTCATCAGAGAGCTGCCGACCCCTCTGCTGACACACACACACCTGTCCACCTACCACTCTGTGCTGGGTACACACACACACACACACACACACACACACACA